GTTACTATGTGTTTTGTCTCTCTTCTTGTTAACCCAGGCTAATGTTCATCACCACACTGCTTGTAGTACTGTTGGTTCACTGGAAGGAATTATCGATTCTCTGTCGTCTACTGTGGAAGAATTAACAGATCTGGCTAAACAGAGAATTACTAAGAAGAAGGTAATATATTCCTTTATAATTTCATTACTTTAAAAACAACGTTTTCAGATTACCTAAGATAACGTTAATGAAAAGAACTGTCATTGATTTTAGTATACTGGTAAGCATTTTCAAGTTTTGAATGAATATTGATATAAATTTATAATTATACTTTACTATCTGTTTTATTTCAGGCCCTATTTGTTCTAAACACAACGTGTTTCACACCATAACGCCCATCTCTACCAACGCAACACAAATCAGAGAGAGAACCTCTCTACCGGTAGACTGTTCCGCCATCTATCATCACTTAAATCAAACAAACGGCGTCTTCAAGATATGACCACATTTTCTGAACCACCCAATCTCTGTATACTGTGATATGGAGACTGTAGGGGGAGGATGGACGGTAGGTGATCCAGTAGAAGTTTGTGATGTCCAAAATAAGTACGGAGAAGATTCTAACTAAGAAGAATGAAGACTTGTAATATGAACACACATTTTTAATTTGAATATTTTAAAATTACTTATAATGCCTCTTTTTTATCACAAAATCACAAATATATTCGTAAAAAATCAAATAAAAATTATGCCCCTACTTTCTACACAGCGTGGTCACAATAGACACCATCAATTCATGTAAAAATGACTGAAAAATTTCATTTTTTCTGAAAAGCCTGAAGTTGCCTAGCCAATCTTCTGACATGAGCCCCATTGAAAACCTTTGGGCCATACTCGACCAGCAAGTCTAGAAACAACAACAACAAAAAAAAACAACTTCAAAGAGTGATCTACTCCAAGTTTTGAAGCAAGAGTGGGCAAAAATCGCACAATCTAAAATTGACGAGATGATTCTCATGATGCCCCAAAGGATCAACGAACTCCACGAAACGAAAGGAAGATCTACTTGATATTAATTGAATTATAAATATATATATCATTTTCTTCTGCCACTTTTGGGTGTTTCTAGCAGTGTAACACGGTGCTCCATCTTCCTGGAACAGTGTTGTGTTCTTGTCCACGCAACCTGAGGAATAAAAGATCGAGCTTAGTGGAGAGCGTTGGCAACATAAATTTTGCGAAATACGTCGAAATATTGGAGGAAGGACTCTTGCCACAGCTGTTTGGATTGGTGGGACCCAAACCATCATGCTGAAACTACCATGCTTCACAGTTGGCTGCAATCTAGTTGAAGCATTCTCCAGACCCATATTCTTCCACTGTCCGAAAATTGAGCGAATTTTGATTCGTCTGAGAACAATACGGTCTTCCAAATGTCCAGAGGCTTGGTCATCATATCACTTGCCCCACCTTCTTTCGTCTGCGATGTTGGCAGGTCTTAATAATAGCTTCCGTCTAGCTGCTCTGTGGAGAATCCGTTGAACAGATTTCGGGCTCATCCCACCAACTTTGG